CTAGTTGGCATGATTGGTTGGGGTCCCGGGGGCCACGGGTGGATTACAGGTGGTTAACGGATCGGAAATAGAATTTTGGAGAAGGCTGAAGTTGCTGGTGTAACCGCACCTGCGAGGCTAGGGCCGTAGGAGCGGTCGTCGTGCCGCAGAAGTGGTTAGAAGTGAAGGGCTCAAAGGTCGCAGGTACGAAGGAAATCCTGCACCTGCAAGATCGCAGATGTGGCCGGTGCAGCGCAAAAGAGGGCTGGGGCAGGAGGAGGAGGACCACAGAAGCGGTATTGTAGCCGCACCTGCGGAACCACAGAAGCGGTCAAGGGACCGCAGGTGTTGAAATTCTAGAGGCATAGAGGTTCTTTTAAATCGGGGGTTGGGTTCATTTCAACCCCATTTCTTCCATTGGAGCCGATTTTGGAGCAACTTTTAGGTGCCATTTTTATCACCAAAAATGAGGTAGGTAATTTATGCTAGTTTTTAGTTAAATACATGAGTATATACGGATTTGGACATGGAAATTGGTAGAAACTTGGGGTTTGAGGGAAAACCCTAGAAAATTGATATTCTTGGAATTTGACCATGATTTTGAGTATGAAATTGAGAGTAAATTATATATTTGAGTTCGTGAGGCTATGGGTAAAGTTTATCTTCGAAAAATTTCGGAATTCGGGCACGTGAGCCTGAGGGCAATTTTGTCAACTTTTCGATCGGGGTTAGGAATTGTTATAAATTGGACTACAATGAGTAATTGAACATATATTAATGGATTTGCATAATTATTGGCTAGTTTTGGAGCATTGTGCATCGATTCGAGTCTTCGGAAGGGCGTGGAATGCCGGTTATGGATCTTCCGAGCGAGGCGAGTCTTCTTTCTAACCTTGTAAGAGGGAATTATCCCCATAGGAAATAATTGGTTATGTGCTCCTATTTGTAGGGGCTACGTATTCACGAGGTGACGAGAGTCTGTGTGTAGCTACTAATATGCGTAATTCCGGGTAGTCCAGGACCCAAAAGCATGCTATACTTGGAATATCTGCAATCTTATTGACAGTTGAATTGCTTAAGTCCTATCGAATTGGTAAATGAATTTCTAAAAGGATTAAACTTCATTTTCTTAAATAGTTAAAAGAGAATTGGCTTTTATTTGGATAAATGTTCCCCAATAAATTCTTAATTTGTTGTTGAGCATGTATTTCTATGTGTACCTGCGTCGCATGTATGATTCGCGAGCAGGGTGTTTGTTTATTTATGTTGACCGCGTCGCATGTATGATTCACGAACGAGGTAATAGATGCATCTATAGTTCGCGCCATTGGACCCTCGGCAGTGCACATTTTACATTTATATTGGATCGGATCGTATGACCTCGGCATGATATGCGCATGTTTGTATTGTTACTTGAGATTTATAAATGTTGACATTTGCCTTTCCTGACCGGAGATAAATTGGTAAAGATAATGAAAAGTAAATCTTTGGAAATCCATTATTATTTGGGAGGTTGTTTACCTGCTATCTGGCTTTATGAATTATAATTGTTGTTTTATAAAATTCCCTGATCTCCTCACATTTTTACTATAGTATCGTTGGACCACTAGTAAGTGTCGAATCGACCTCTTGTCTCTACTTTTTCGAGATTAGACGGGATACTCATTGGTTACACGTTGTTTTCGTACTCATACTACAATTGCTGTGCATTTTTGTTGCACATGTTTATGTGTGGCTAGTGGCATAGCGGCATGGTTTACTGATAGAGAAGTCGGATGAGCTGATAGAGAAGTACGACCAGAAGCTGGAAGAAATCAATAACAAGCTTGATAGGCTTGAGATGCTGGACAAATTTGATAGTCTTGGTGATGAAGACACTCGTCGTTCTGACAGTGACGATGACGATGACGATATGGACGATTAGTTTTTTTTTTGGATAATCCTTTTAGTTAAAGGGTTATTATGTTATTTCTTTTTTCTGTAATTTTAATTTATCGTTTATTTTATGTAATGAAAAATTCTGTTTTTGTTTTAAGTTTTTTGTGCGCTTTTTTTAATATTAATTCTCTTTAAACTCAAAAAATAACAGAGGAAATGAATTAAATAACTTCAGTAGGAACTAACAAAAACTGATCCGAAAATTACATATTGCAGGACAAAATATTAAGCATGTTTTAGCAAATTAACTAAAAAAAACATCAGCATACTAAAAATGTTTTACATATTCCAGAAAACTTAAGCATTTTTGGTATGAAGTTTTACCAAAAAATAATAATAAAATGCATAGTGCTGGAGGAGAACTTCAGCCCATTTTGATGAAGTTTTCAAGAATGAACTAAACAACTTCAGCACTTTATGCTGAAATGTTTGTGCAATATGTAATTTTAATTTATATTTTATTTTTACCCAGTGCAGGAGGGAAATTTCAGCTCATTTTCCTGAAGTTTTTAAAGATGAACTAAACAACTTCAGCATCATATGCTGAAGTTTTTGTGCAATATGTAATTTTAATTTATGTTTTATTTTTACCCAATGTAGGAGAAAAACTTCAGCTCGTTTTTCTGAAGTTTTTAAAGATGAACTAGATAACTTCAGCATCTCATGCTAAAGATTTTGTGCAATATGTAATTTTAATTTATGTTTTATTTTTTACCCATTGCAGGAGGAAAACTTCAGCTCGTTTTTCTGAAGTTTTTAAAGATGAACAAAACAACTTCAGCATCTTATGGTGAAGTTTTTGTGCAATATGTAATTAAAATTTATGTTTCAGCTCATTTTCCTTGAAGTTTTTGCATATGAACTAAATAACTTCAGCTTGATTACACTACAAGACAAATACTTCAGCATATGTAAAAACTCAGCTTGTTTAGCAAATAAACTAAAAACTTCAACATATTTGAATTTGTCGGATTAGAATATTAGAATTCAACGTGAAATAGATTTAGAATGCAAATTCATTCGTCAGTATAATCTATCAGTGTAAAGTTCATGTTTCATCCGTCAAACAACTTCAATCAATCAATCAGAAACATATATTCTAGTGTGAATTCCGAAAATAATTATAGAAACATATATCATGAAATCACTTAGTTTCAAAAACTATTTTGAATTCTGAAGATGAATTGGAATACTTACAATGTATTTTGTAATTTTGAATTTGGAATTTGAATCTGGTTCAAATTTCTGGTTTACGAGAGGCGATCTGAGGAGAGACAGAGTGATGGAGGAGAACCATAAATTGATTTATGCGTGATGCATATTTTATATGTTTTGTCAGGGGTATAATGGCCATATTATTACGGATTTTTTGTTAGTTGGCTACCAAATCAATAGTTTTTAAAAATAGGGTACAAGTTAAAAGGTGGCATAAATATAGGGTATGGCTGCAAATTACCCAATAAAATTAATTTCCCCGTCAAAGACGATTTATTTGCAGTCATACCCTATATTTATGTCAGCTTTTAACATGTACCCTATTTTTAAAAACTATTAATTTCGTAACCAACTAACAAAAAATCCGTAATAATATGATCATTATACCCCTTCCAAAATATATAAAAGATGCATCATGCATACCAGATTCAAATTCCATATCGACTCTGTCTCTCCTCCATCACTCCATCTCTCCTCAGATCGCCTCTCGCAAACCAGATTTGAACCAGATTCAAATTCAAAATTCAAAATTACAAAATGCATTGTAAGTATTCAAATTCATCTTCAGAATTCAAAAATAGTTTTTGAAATTGATTGATTGAAGTTGTTTGACGGATGAAACATGAACTCTTCACTGATATGCTAAATTTGCATTCTAAATCTGTTTCACGTTGAATTCTAACATTCTAATCCGACAAATTCAAATATGCTGAAGTTTTCCACTGCATAATATGTTGAACGTTTTGGTTTATTTGCTAAACAAGCTGAGTTTTTATACATGCTGAAGTATATGTCTTGTTTATTTGCTAAACAAGCTGAAGTTATTTAGTTAATCTTTAAAACTTCAGCAAAACGAGCTGAATTTTTCCTCCTACACTAGGTAAAAATAAAACATAAATTATAATTTAATATTGAACAAAAACTTTAGCATGAGATGCTGAAGTTATTTAGTTAATCTTTAAAAACTTCAGCAAAATGAGCTGAAGTTTTCCTCCTACATTGGGTAAAAAATAAAACATAAATTATAATTTAATATTGAACCAAAACTTCAGCATTCCATGCTGAAGTTTTTTAGTTCATCTTTAAAAATGAGTTGAAGTTTTTCTCCTACATTGGGTAAAAAAAACATAAATTAAAATTACATATTGCACAAAAATTTCAGCATAGGTGCTGAACCTTTTTAGTTAATCTTTAAAAACTTCAGCAAAACGAGCTGAAGTTTTCCTCCTACACTGGGTAAAAAATAAAACATAAATTATAATTCAATATTGAATAAAAACTTAAGCATGGGGTGCTGAAGTATTTTAGTTCTTCTTTAAAAACATCAACAAAAAGAGCTGAAGTTTTCCTCCTACACTGGGTAAAAAATAAAATATAAATTATAATTTAATATTGAACAAAAACTTCAGCATGGGATGCTGAAATTTTTAGTTCATCTTTAAAATTTTCAGCAAAACGAGCTAAAGTTTTCCTCATACACTGGGTAAAAAATAAAACATAGATTAAAATTACATATTGTACAAAAAATTCAGCATAAAGTGTTGAAGTTTTTTAGTTCATCTTTAAAAACTTCAGCAAAACGAGCTGAAGTTTTTTAGTTCATTCTTGAATATTCAGCAAAACGAGCTGAAGTTTTTCTCCTGCACTATGTATTTTATTATGATTTTTTGGAAAAACTTCATACCAAAAAATGCTTAAGTTTTCCGGAATATGTAAAATATTTTTCATATAATTTTTAATATGCTGAAGTTTTTTAGTTCATTCTTGAATATTCAGCAAAACGAGCTGAAGTTTTTCTCCTGCACTATGTATTTTATTATGATTTTTTGGAAAAACTTCATACCAAAAAATGCTTAAGTTTTCCGGAATATGTAAAATATTTTTCATATAATTTTTAATATGCTGAAGTTTTTTAGTTCATCTGCTAAAAATGCTTATTATTTTGTCCTGCAATATATAATTTTCGGATACTTCACCAACTCTTTGTTGTTCATGATGTTCTTGTCTCTCTTCACCAACAACAACAGCGGCAGAATTACCTTCTGAACCACTCCCTTGTGTACTACCCAACAAAAATGAACATAAATTGAAGTTCAGGATATCACTGGTGTCACATATAGGAGAACTGGAAATCTTCCTTCTCTTAGGATTTGGAATAAGTTGCGATGCATCAGATGAGATCTGCAAAAGCAAGGAAAATATAAATATAAATACAACAGATACAAAAATACATTAGGCAAAAAAACACCTTGTAATATAATTGCAGAAAATAACTACCTGATCTAAGTTTTGAGACACAAATGGTGTTTGCATTCCAACAGATGCACTTCCTTTACCTTCAGATACGCCTATATCTTCATGCAAAAAAAAACTAAATAATACTGACTAAATTTTATAAAATAATACAAACACACTTCACACATGTCTATGAGCCAACAGATGTGAATAGATGTATTTTTCCTTTTTGATATAGCTGAACAAGCTCACCAAATTCTTTTTGAGCTGCATTGAGTCTTTCTGAATATTCATTCAAAAACATAAAAAAGAAAATAAAGTATGTAAAATTTCAAACTGTAAAAAATATAGTTTGATCAAATGTAATAAATTCATGATCTATAGAATACCTTGACGTTTGTCTTCCGTTGTGGTTTCCACAGGTTGCATGCCTTTGTCGATATCAACAATTCTAGCTTCATTCAATTGTGCACCAATGTCGAGGAGCATTGGAGTATTTTCTGGAAGGTTTTTCTCAACTCTATCTTCATTCAATTTAGCATTATCAGAGAGTTTTTGAGTTGTGTCAATTGAAGCACAAATATTTTCAACTTCCATAGTAACAATTTCCTGTGTATCTTCACCTACAAGTTCCTTGCAAATAGCTAGTGCTTCTACAAACCGATTGTCTTTCCCAATAGTGCTAGACACATCACTCGATGTCAGTTCTAAAGTACCAACAGGTGCTTTATTTCCATCGCTAAACAAATTGCCTTTTGCAATATCACTGACCAAAGCACAACTCGGTGCATGTTTTTCAGTATCAACAACTTGATCATCTGCACCTTTCTCAGTTTATAACTCTTCATCATTTCCATCTTTACTCAGTCTATAAACACTAGATTGTTCCTCTCCAACTTGTTGTTGAACATGTTCATCGCCTTCAAGAGCCGCTTTCTCACGTGTAGCATTATCATCTGCGACTTTATGTGATGCATCATGAGCAATATGTTCTTCAATGTCAACAACTTGATTATCTGCACCTTGCTTGCTTCCAACATTCTCAGTTGATAATTGTTCATCATTTCTATCTCTGCTCAGTCTATCAACACTGGAACGTTCCTCTTCCTCTTGTTCTTGAACATGTTGATTGCCTTCAAAAGTCGCTTCCTCACGTGTAGCATTTTCATCTATGACTTTATGCAATGCATCATGAACAGCATTAATATCCGATAGATGTTCGTAACAGTCGTTCATCCTATCATATTATCAATAGTTACTCAAATCAAAATTGCCATCATCCATTCCATTTGATTTGTCGACAATCTTAAACAACTGTTCAAACTTCTCATCGAAATATTCCTAGAAAAAAAATTACTAACAATGATTAATCTGAATAACATTAGTAGAAATAAAATGACTTCTCTATAAATTAAACTTATCGGAAACTTCTTTCACGATCGTGCTTCTTTCTTTTTCTGCATGCCTTTGAACCTCCATCATTACTCTCTAGTATAGAGACACACAACAAAAATTCAGATATAAAAGAATGCTGAAGTTCAGCAAATGCAGAACACAACTTCATCTATTATGATGTTGAAGTTCATCACAAACAGAGCAAAACTTTAGCTCAAAAACATGCTGTAGTTTTACAAAAACTCAACAAAAAAACTTCAGTTCAAAACATAAAGAACATATTTTGTCGAGTAATTCATTCTCAAACTCCGTTGTAGAACGGTTAGAATGACTCTGGGTACGAGATGATTCGCCAATAACAGGAGTTCGATTCGCTTCTTTTGATCGACTCCGACTACGTGGTGATTCGCCAATAACAGGAGTTCGATTTGCTTCTTTTGAGAGACTTAGACTACGTGGTGATTCACCAGTTGAAGGAACCGCATTAAGTACCTTTGAACGAATCCGACTACATGGTAATTGTCCAATTAAAGGCATTAAATTCAATTCCTCTTCTGTAGGAATTATGTCCAATACCCTAAAGTTGCGATATCTCTGCTTAATACAAAAAATTATATTATGAGGGGAAAAAATTAATACGTCAACATATTAACACAAAGACAAAAATAAAAAAATTAACTTACATCATAATTACTGAAGAAATCAAAAAGTTCGTTATATTTAGGCTCTCCCACACATACATTATTTAACATCCTGGGAACCTGAGGGGTATCAAGGTACTCATCCTTTCTTATATACTTCTCCAAAATATCTGGGAAGCGCTGATAGAACCAAGCACATAACGGATATGGAAATCCACCAACTTAATACACAGTTGAATGAAATTTGTTCTGCTTGTCCAATACATGTTTCAGTGAGTAAATGAGCTTCTCATAACACACATTACCCCAAGGATATTCAACACAAACCTTATCATCTTCAACAATAGCTGCATACTCCTCTAGCACAGATGATTTAGTCTTTTTTCCAAACAAAGTACACTCTACAACAAGAATTTCCATAAGCTTCATAACATCATCATCACTCTCGCATATGTGACTGTGATTCACAGCATTCTTTGGAATTTTATTCCGAGTCATAAAATCTCGAATATCCTTCAAGGTCACACCCTTGGACTTACCAAAATAGCGCTTCAGAATATTTCTCTCTCGATTAGTTGGTTTTTCAACATTATGTGGTGTGATCCGCAAACCGCACATAATGTGAAAGTCTTCAAGGGTGAAGGAAACATCATGGCCAAAAATCTTAAAACTAATAGAGTCTCGATCATTGGTGAATATTCGAGAAAGACACAAACAATGAACCAACTTCATGTTGCATTTGAATTCTCCATAGCCATAATATATCAAAATGTACCATTATTAAGCTTATCTCGTTGTGCAGGAGTCAAGAAATTTGCAATTAAACTCTTCAAATTGTGGTTCCCCTTCCAGTAACCCTTACAGTTAAACCAATCTCGAAACACAAAATATTTTTCCCATGGTTTTGTAGGTGGAGCAGCAGGGACGAAAGGACCTAGGGGTATTATAGGTTGTTTAGGTGTTTTAGGTGCATTAGCTGCTTTACGTGCTTTAGCTGCTTTAGGATATTTAGGTGCTTTAGGTGCCATCTGTTCAAGAAAAAAGTAAAATATACAAAAAATAACATCAGGATATTATCAAAAAAATCAGTTAAAGCTTCAACTCTAAGAAGGCTGAAGTTCACCAGTTACAAACAAAAACTTCAGCTCTAATGTAACACCCCGTAAATTTGGCTTATGTATGAATGAGTTAAAGGAGTAGTAAGGTTATATTTTGAACATGTGAAGTCCCATCGAGATGATTACGGGTGAAAATAGTTGTTTCAAAATCAAGATGGAAAGTAAGGTGTATAAGATTTGACAAAATCGACTAAGTTTGCAGAAGGTCTATCTTCCAATAGGTTTAGTGAAAATGTGTAAGGAATTTAGGAAAATGTAAAATAAGAAAGTTGTAGCTCTTTGAAATAGTTTTCCAATGATATATTATGGAGCTCGAACGGATCCCTGTGCAAGAAGTTGTGTGCATTTTAAAGAACAGTATGCGATATGTGCGCCCTGTAGCGCGACCGCACTTGCTTTGAGGCAGTGTTTCTGCCGTTTTGCGCGGTCAGTAGCGCAGTCAGGTCTTCAGGTGCGCGGGCGCGCTCATGGGAGGTCATTTTAAAGCCATATTTCCCCAACAGCCCCAAAACATAAAAACTTGCTCTAGAAAGGGGAACTCTCAAAAACCTAACTCCTTAAGGGTCCTTCCACCACCCAAGGTAACTTTTAATGGTGATTCTAAGTTAATTTCAATTTTTCCAACATCTTATTAACATGGGTAAGCCCTCCATATCATTAGATATTCGATTGGGGAATCATTGTTGAGAGAAGGAACCCTAGAACTCGAATTCAAGAAGATTGAACGTCAAGAAGGTAATATCTTCACCCTCTAATTAATTATAGCATTGGATTAATGATTGTAGACTACAAGATTATGAGATATGAGTTGATGGGTTTCATAGAAAAGCATGAACAATTATAGGTTTGGCTTGTTGATTATTGATTAAGGGTGTTGTTTACCTTATGGGTGATAAAGAATGATGTTGATTATAACCATTTGAGACTTTAGAATTTATCTAAGAGCAAGAGAATGGGTTATTGTGTGTAGAGACACCATTAATAAGGACTATGAGCTTTATGTCACCAAGTGTTTGAGGAAGAGAAAGTCTAGTGTTTTTATCACAGAATACACATACTTTTGAGTGGAGATGGTAAATATGGAAATTTAGAATGGGATTATCTTTCTCATTTCAAAAGCATGATTTGATTGGATGATCGTAAATCGACTTACCAAGTTAGCACACTTCTTGCCAGTAAAAACTACAGATTCAATAGAAGATTATACCAAGTTGTACATTCAGGAAATCGTCTGATGTATGGGACTCTATTGTCCGTCATTTTGGATTGTGGTGCTCAGTTTAAAATGAACTTTTAGAAGTTCTTTCAGAAATGATTAGACGCGTGTTTTTCATCTTCAAAAAGATGGCCAGGCAGAGCTCATTGTTCAAATAGTTGAGGATATGTCCTTGATGTTAAAAGTTATTGGGATGATCACATACCTCTCATTGACCTTGCTAATAATAACACCTACCATTCTAGTATCAAGATAGCACTATGAGAGACTCTGTATGGGCGAAGGTGTAGATCGCCAATTGGTTGGTTCAAAGTTGGTGAAGAGGAGTTGTTGGGACAAAATTTGGTCTATCAGACTATAGAGAAAGTTAAGTTGATTCAAGAGCGTTTGAAGAATACTCAGAGCCTCCAAAAGTCCTATTCGAGCGTGCGGCATAGAGACCTAGAGTTTCAAGTTGATGATTGGATGTTTCTGAAAGTTTCGCTTATGAAAAGCGTTATGAGATTTGGGAAGAAGGGGAAGCATAGTCCCTGCTATATTGGGCCATATAGATTCTTGCGAAGGATTGGTCAATTAGCTTATGAGTTGGAGTTACCACCATAATTAGTGGTGGTACATCCAGTATTTCACATGTCATGTTATAACATTCAAGTTTCCAGTACTCAGATACTCATGTCAGTTCAGTACTTAGATACTCATGTCAGCTCAATACTCAACTACCCATGTTAGTCCAATACTTAAACATTCATGCCAGTTTAGTACTCAAATTACTCAAATATTCATACCAGTTCAATATTCATATATCCATGTTAGTTTAGTATTCATGTATCCATGACAGACCAATATTCAGTCAATGCAGTAGTCATTCAGTTCAGTATTGCAACAGTTCAGTAATCATATATTCATTAAGTTTAGTATACAAGTGTTAGTGAAAGTTCATGTTTCCACCAGACCCATTAGTGAAAGTTCATGTTTCCATGTGAAGTCCCATCGGGATGATTATAGGTGAAAATAGTTGTTTCAAAATCAAGATGGAAAGCAAGGTGCATAAGATTTGACAAAATCGACTAAGTTTGCAGAAAGTTTGTCTTCCATTAGGTTTTAGTGAAATTGTGTAAGGAAATCAGGAATACTTAAAACACAAAAGTTGTAGGTCGTTGAAATATCTTTCCAACGATATATTATAGAGCTCAAACGGATCTCTGTACAAAAGGTTATGTGCATTTTACAGAACAATACACGATATGCGCGCCCCTAGCGCGGCCGCGCTTGTTTTGAGGCAGTGTTTCTACCGTTTTGCGCGGTCAGTTGTGTGGTCAGGTCTTCATATGTGCGGGTGCACTTGTCAGAGGTCATTTTAAAGCCATATTTCATCCCCCACAGCCCCAAAACATAAAAACTTGCTCTAGAAAGGGGAACTCTCAAAAACCGAACTCCTTAAGGTTCCTTCCACCACCCAAGGTAACTTCTAATGGTGATTCTAAGTTAATTTAAATTTTCCCAACATCTTATTAACATGGGTAAGCCCTCCATATCATTAGATATTCGATTGGAGAATCATTGTTGAGAGAAGGAACCCTAGAACTCGAATTGAAGAAGATTGAATGTCAAGAAGGTAATATCTTCACCCTCTAATTAATTATAGCGTTGGATTAATAATTGTAGACTACAATTTCATGAGATATGAGTTGATGGGTTTGATAGAAAAGCGTGAACAACTATAGGTTTAGCTTGTTGATTGTTGATGTTGATTAAGGGTATTGTTTACCTTATGGGTGATAAAGAATAATGTTTATTATAACCATTTGAGACGTTAGAATTTATCTAGGAGCAAGAGAATGGGTTATTGGATGTAGAGACACCATTAATAAGGATTATGAAGCTTTATGTCACCAAGTATTTGAGGAAATGTTTAAGTGACAAGAACATGAGAATTTATACTAATATGGAATCCCTTTGACTTGTATTGATATAGATTAAAGTTGAAAGGGTTGGTGAATGTTGTATTACGCTCAAGAGCAGGAAGTTAAGGTATGTGAGGCTAACTCTCTATATTTGGGAATGTTAATGGTTCTCCCTACACTACATTTCTCTTACCACGTTACCAATTGCCTCAGAAATATAGGTAAGCGTAGTTCCTTGAATAGTTGCAGAACTTCTATTCTCTAGCTTCATAACTCGTTCACCACTTTCATTCTGAACGTTGTGAGCTCAGTGCGTATTCAATATAGACTTGGGTTTGATGTCCTCAAGTCTTAGTGTAGATTACTCAGTATGCCATAAACAGTTGAAGTTTCAGTATTCATAATCAGTTCAAGAATATATGTCTCAGTCTAGTCCTATTCAGTATTCCAGTATTATGTAACTCAGTGTGATCCAGTATTCCAGTATCATGTAACTCAGTGTGATTCAGTATTTCACCATCATTTATTGCAGTTTGATTCTCAGTTCCTGAATGTTGAACACCTGTATTTGGGCTTGAGGCCGTAGTTTATATGATTTATGCATACTTGGGCCTGAGGCCGTAGTTTATGCTTTATATATGTTTGGGCTTGAGGCCGTAGTTTATGCTTTATGCATTTTGGGCCTGAGGCCGTAGTTATGTATACGTATACTTGGGCCTGAGGTCGTAGCTTGTGCACATATATATTGGGCCCGAGGCCGTAGCTTATTCAGATAAACAGGTTGTTCATCATTCAGAAGAGGGAGTATTCATATCCTTACTTCCTTTGTTCAGTTCAGTTATCAGTTATCATTTCAGTTACCGGTTATTAGTTCAGTTATCAGTTATTAGATATCAGTTATTATTTCAATTTCAGTTTCAATAGTTATCATTTCAGTTATCAATTATCAATTCTTAGTTATCAGCTTAGTTTCAGTTTCAGCATTTATAATTCTTTCTTTCAGTTGCTTTACATACCAGTGCAATTTAAATGTACTGATGTCCCTTTTTCCCGGGGTCTACATCTCACGATGCAGGTAATGATTTACAGGTTGATGATTCAAAGCGCTAGGATTCTCGTACCAGCTATTTGGTGATCCCAGTTCTCTCGGGGCATTATCATTTTTTATAGTCTTTCAGTAGTTACAGAGAGTAAATGTCTTTAATACTTCATTAGAGGCTTCATAGACTAGAGTAACAGTTAGACAGAGTTTTAGACCTTTTCATGTTAAGCAATGTTGGCTACATATATGTTTCAGACTTGTTTTAGTATTTCCACACTTTGATTTATATCATCTAGACTTTCAGTATATCTGCATATGTTAGTTTATCTTCTGCATTCAGTACGTTATGATATCACATGTTGATTCAGCCAGCCAGTTGGTTCGCTCGGTCACATGTAGTTAGACACTGAGTGTCGTGTTACGTCCAGGCCCAGGTTCAGGGCGCGACATCTAAAGCTGAAGTTCGCCAGTTACAAACAAAAACTTTAGCTCTAGAGCTGAAGTTGGCCAGTTACAAAACAAAAACTTCAGCTCTAGAGCTGAAGTTCGCCAGTTACAAAACAAAAACTTCAGCTCTAGAGCTGAAGTTCGCCAGTTACAAAACAAAAATTTCAGCTCCTAGAGCTGAAGTTCACCAGTTACCAAAACAAAAACTTTAGCTCCTAAACTTGAAGTTCACCGGTTACAAAACAAAACATTCAGCAAAAACATGATGTAGTTTTTAAAAAAACAAAACACAAATTCAAATCCAAAAATAATGTTGAAGTTCATAAAAATATAACAAAAAAACACAAAATATGAAACAAAACTTCAGCTCATATCTAAGGTATCATTGAAGTATTATAAACTTCACACTTTAATAGTATCATCTATTTAACTCTCAAAATTTTAAAAAATTTCGACGTCTCCAAAAATCACTGAAGAATTTATAGAATTTTCATCAACAACACAAACACACGTTCAAAAAACCTAAAAAGACAATCGTAAAAGTAAAACTAATGCACTTATCAAACTAAACCCTAAGAAACTATTTTTTTCATAAATACATGACTATCAAAATCAAAACCAGAAATTAAATATAAAAACTAATACTAAAATAAAATCCAAAAAGTTAATGCAATGTACCTGTGATTAAATCGTAATGTTATTGGGGAACAAACAGTTGAAAAATCAAAAACAACGACGAAAACCGTTTGATTTCAGAGAAGAACAAATCAAAAAATGCGAATAACGAGAGAGAGAGCTAGAGACGGTAGAGGACTAACATATACTTGGAGAGAAAGTAATCTTTTAATAAAGAAGGGCAAAATAGTCTTTTTAAAAGGCTTTTAACAAAAAAACGGGTACGGGTACAAACAAAAAAACAAAGTGGCTAAAGGTTAAAAATTTTACGTCAAAGACTATCATTTTCGAGAATGAAAACACAACTCAATACCAGGAATATCGGCCCTGAATGTTCCCTCTCTTCGGGCCCTAAATAATCTTACCAAACAATCTGAGATTTATTGGATGGACATATTTAGGCCCAATAACAAAAATATTGCAAATTATGAGTGCTTTCAAAGACGAATTTTCAAGAATGGAAAGCATGGTAAAAAATAAGGAAATTTAAATTAAAGCACTTTTAGAAAGAATAAACGTTAAAGTGTTAACTTATACTATGTGAAAAGATAGTGTCTTTAATTTATACTTCAACATCGCAAAGATTTTTTACATTATAAAATTATGGTTACTTATTGCAGCAGGTGTCACACCCCCTTTTTTTACAAACCATTAACCCTCTTAAAATAATAAAAAGATTTTGTAAAGCTCAAAAGGGTTTTCAAATTTGAAAAGTGACAAAATTGTGTTCAAAAGGATTTTTTCAGAGTCGCCACCTGACATTTGATTTCGATGTGTCAGGTCACCGTTTTCTAAAAAAAATGATTTTTTCTCCTTTTTAAAACACTTGAGACTCCAAAACTAAGTCTGCACCAAAGATTTGGGTAAGAGGGTTCATTTGACTCGGGGAGAAGGTGTTAGGCACTCCCCAAGTCCCGTAACTAGTACGGTTGGGTACATGATCAAGTTGGCTCTTAGAATATTCGAATTGAGGTAAAAACAAACACGGAAAAAAAAACACACAAGAGGCTCGAGGTCATCCCTACCTAATAAGAGAAAATGAAAAGGAAAAGAAAAGAAAAGTCCTAAGCTAACCTATACTACGACTTCTGCACCATGCTCGTCAAGGCCTCCAAAATATTTACATAGTTCTTCGGGGCATACCCCGGATAATAATATTTACAAACTTTACGGGGCATTCCCCGGATAAATTCAACTAAGGGACAACCTCTCACCTTATATCCGAACATTGTAAATTAAAATAAACTTTCTAAAGGTTTTCCTACCTAAATGATAAAGGCCTAAGCATGCTCCTAGCGACTTGAACAAATAAAGTATAATTAAACTTAATATTAAGCCCAATTCTACGCATAAACTTATGACCAAAGCCTAGATTTCATTTAATCTAAGCTAACGAGAGCCTCATCTTTTCAAATTCCAACCCCACGGCCCAATTTCGATATTTTCTTTCAAATCCCAAACACAACACTGTAATTTTGAATTGTGATTTTAAACTAAATAAGCTATGGTAAGGGAGAAGTCACTAGCAAACAAGACCAACTAAAACAAAGAAGACAAACCAACATTAGGCCAAGAACATTTAGTTTAAACTCAATAGATCTAACTCCTGAAGCATACATAACACTTAATCATGCAAAATAAACAACCTGATCATATAACCAATCCTTTAAGAATCAATAAGCATATAAAGTCAATAAAATAAGGAAGCGGATACCTTGGACAGTGTATGAACGAGCTTAAGTCTTCGCAAGTCTGTTTCGAAGCTCGAATAACAAACAATGACTCGAACAAAAACGCGACGCAACTGGAACCTCGAACGACCTCGACGGATTGAAAGAATGACCGAACCTCGCCAGATTTTCGGAACTCGAACTTCGATTGCGATTGTGCAGCGATGATATTGAACACAAATCCTAGCTAATTCAAAACTTCATAAACAAGAAGATAATAGAGGGGGTCGTTTTTGGTTGCTGCTGTGAGTGCAGGGGCGGCTACTGGTGGTTCGACGGCTGGAGAATGCTCTGGCAATGGAGTCGATCAGGGGAAACCATTTGGTTCAGAGTCTAGGTCTCGATGGCTTAGGGTTGTGGTCTTGCTGCTTAGGTTACATGGGGTTAGGTTGCTAATTTCTGGCGGTTTGTGGTGGTAGCCGGCGGCTGCTTAGCTAGGTCTTTGTGTTGTCTTCTGCATTGAAGAAGAAGATGGGTTATGGTTTTTGTTTGTTAGGTTGGAGAAGGCTGCTGGGTTTAAGGTCGTTTGGTGTGGCTGGTTCGTTGCTGAAGGTGACGGCTGGTCAGGTTCTTGTTGTAGTGTGCTAGGGTTCCATTGTTGTGTCCACATGAAGATGAAGAAGAAGATGAAGGCTGCTAGGTTTTCTAGGGCTCCTTTTCTTCAAGATTTTCCTTGTGTAGGTTATATCTTCCAGGTTGAAGATCTGATCGCTAGGTCTTGTTTTCCTTATGGGTTTGGGCATGGGTAAGGTATTTGGGCTTCAAATTTGGGCTAAAATTGTATTTAAAAATAGCCCTTTAGCTTTACAAGACTAAAAATGTTGATTTCTTTCCTAAAATAATATACTATAAAATTGTAAAATTATTATTAATTAATTAAAACAAACTATATTATGACATGAAGCTATTTTTGGTATTTTTTTAAAATTATAATAAAAATGGGTAAAAAATAATATTCTTCTTAAAATACCTAATACCTTAATTAAATGGAGAAGAATGAAACTATTTTTTGTATTTTTCAATTTTATGATAAATAATAATGTAAAAGAGTCAAAATTAGTTGAAATAACTATATTTGACCTAAACTAAGTATTTAAAAGCTAAAAAGAGTAAATTCTCGGGGAAGGTCAAAAATTACATGTCTACAGCTGCCCCTCTTTGATTGAAAATACGAAGTATTTTTAGACAAAGAATGACTAGATAGGTTTTTTGACCCGGCCCTTATTTAAAGAGGCAAAAATTTACAAGAAAGGAGAATGTGACCAAGCCCTGGTATCTGAGCTGCCTACATATCCTTGGCTATAAAGGAATCAGGCCACGTGTAGTTCAGAAGTAAGAATAGTGATGGAGCATACCGAGGTGGAGAGCCGATTGAGGTGTCGTTCCGTCGAGGTTCCGGTCCGCGGTCCTGTTATTACCTCAAAATCAAAAAAATGAAAAAGACTAACGAAGCCTGTCAACTATGAGTTACAAGATTCCTATCTATAAGTCTTCTGAAGCTTGATCTTGAGTCTTGAATGGTTCTTCATGCAGACTTTAGATTTGACTCTTGACGCTTGCTAGTTGCAGGTGCTAGTTCATTCTTCTTCAGCTTGTCGGACCAAAACCGGACACCATGCTTGTGACTTTAGTCATGTCTTGAGCAATCCACCTCTTGTCTCAGCTTCTGCATTTTGGATTCACTTCCCTTTTCTTTTTCTTTTTCTTTTTTTTTTTGTTTGTTTTTTTATTTTTGATTGAGATTACTTCTGTTGATCATCTCGGACTGTTGACTCGCATTCTTGCCGCGAGCTTCTTCTACTTCTAACTTGAATTGGATTCTGAAATAACTTTCCTTGTTCTCCAGGTAGACGCCTAATTGTTAAAACTTGAAATTTATTCCCTTGTTCTCCAGGAGGGTGCCTGATTGCCAAAACTTGAACAGTATTCCCATATTCTCTTGGTAGGCGCCTGATTGACAAAACTTGAATTGTATTCCCTTTTTCTCCAGGTGGGCGCCTGATTGCCAAAACCCGAAATAATTTCTGTCACACCTCCTTTTTGCGCGCCCCGCCCCGAGGGGTAAGATGCGCGGGTGGGAGTTTTTCCAATTTAAGTGACAATATTCGAAATGGGATTATTTATTTAATTCAGAGTCGCCACTTGGGAAAGGTTTGGCTTTTGGTGTCCCAAGTCACCGGTTTATCTTGAATCCCAAATCGAGGAAATTTTCGACTTTTCCAAATGAAGTCTGCGAACCAGAAATTCTAAGTAAGGAATTCTGTTGACCCGAGGGAAGGTGTTAGGCACCCTCGAATCCCGTGGTTCTAGCACGGTCGCTTAAATTGTTATAATGGCTAAATATCTGATTTAAATACATGTTGTGACCTATGTGCTTTTATTAAGTTTTAATCGCCTTTATTATTGTCATTTATTTTACAGAATTGCAACGTCGTGAAAATGCGTCTCGAACCACGTCACAATCAATGCACCCGTGATTGTCGACACATTTGGACTTCATTGAGATTTGGATTTGGGTCACATCAATGTGCACCCGAACTTAAGAATGTGATTTAATTAAACCGCGCCAACAGAGTCTAACGCGTTATTATCTTTGTAGAAGGCCATGAAATTTATTAAATGGCCCATCCTGAATTCTAGATAATTATCAAGGTTATTTATTGAGGGCCCCGCGATTTACATCTCATTTGGCGAGGCTCGTCTCATTATTTTAGAAGGAACATCCTAAAACGGTTACATTTCTGATGTGTTTATCTCTTAAAAATAGAAGAAAAGATGCGTGCTATTTTTAACTATGTGTTTGGCCCAAATCCGGATTTTAGCTAATCGTCCGATTAATTATTTACGGACTGAAGAAACATTGTACCTCATGAAAACATGCTTTGAACTTGATAAAAGAAATGTATATGGGATTGATGAAATGCTACGACTGTTACAAGAGCTCCCTAACTTTAACTTATTCGGACAAGATTAATTAAAATTGCTTGTTTGGGAAATGCGACTAGTGGTATTTGAAACTCATCCTGTAAACTGCTTCACGCAAACTGAAACTCAAGAGTTTGAAACTGTATTGTCTTTAGCTAGATCTAAACAATCATTTGCCCTTACATATTCGAAACATGCTTAAATAGCGAGTTTGAGTTAACAATTGTATTAAAATGGCTGCACATTTCATGGATTGTATTTACATCTTATGTACTACTAAACGAATAAAATGTCACAGTTTCAGATTGGCATAAACTTTAATTAAGTACAACCTTACTAATGTGTCTCTATTAGGCTAATCAGACCAAGAAACTACATATCTTAACAACATTAAAAGGCAATTCATAAGCAATACAACAGGTGCTTCTAACTCCTTCAAATCTTTTGATTCATGCTTTCATTGTTACATCAAATGCGAGTCTTAGTATGTACCTGGATATTGGATACAACAGAAGGAGCAAGGGGTCAGTAGGGCAATAGAAGCGATACCAAACAGCAGCAGTAACAGCAGGTACCAATAGAACAACTCCCAGTGCAAGATACAGTTAGAACCGACAAGAAATGGTAGACAGGTAGCAGCAAACAATGCAGTAGGAATAATACTCCAAGACAGACCAATCCAGGGGAAACGAACAATATGAATCAACTAATGAACTCAGCTGATACTTGGAAGAAAACAGAGTTGATTGAACAGGTTGAACAAGACTGGGAATCAGACAAACAAGACAGAAGTAATTGCTGATTTTCTGTTTATCCCTTTCCCTATCTTCTTTCTTTTCAAGAATCCAATATCAGTCTGCAGTCTTGAACTTATACTTAAGTTATCAGAAAGAGACCTTTTCCAGTTTTTTTTACTGTTTTCCCCCAGAACTTCAATTCTCAAAATTTCAGTTTAGGCTCCCCCTGTGTCTCTCTATGTATGTCTGTGTGTGTATACTTCTCAGTGTGTATTTCAGCTCTCTCTTTCAAAAATTCCTCACAGTCTGTCTATTTTCTCTTCTTTTTTTTGTGTCCTATCCCCCCCTTTTTATAAGCCTCTATCCTACTTTTTTTAACAGCCTGTTTTCAGAAATCACAGTACCCTTCCCATGTGCCTTCCATTTTCAATTCC